AGCAGCGTCTGCTGGCAGCGTGGAGCAGAGCCCGGGGCGGGCACACAGCATCCCGGGAACGCGGCATCCCGGCATCCCGGCATTCCAGACACACACCATCCCGGCATCCTGGGCACTCCTTGTCCCAGCATCATTCCATCCTGGGCACATGGCATCCCGGCATTCCAGCATCCCAGGCACACATCGTCCCGGCATCCCAGTACCCTGGGCACGTGTCATCCCCACATCCCAGGCACGCATCGTCCCTGCTTCCCAGGATCCTGGGCACACATTATTCCTGCATCCCTGGCACACATCATCTGTGTATCCCAGCGTTCCTGGCACACATCGTCCCTGCATCCTGGGTACACTTCATCCCAGTATCCTGGATACACATCGTCCCGGCATCCCAGCATCCCAGACACATCCCTGGATCCCAAAATCCCAGGCATACATCATCCCTACATCCAAGGATCCCAGGCACACATCATCCCTGCTTCCCAGGCACACATCCTCGCTGCATCCCAGCGTCTTGGACACACTGCATCCCAGTATCCCAGGCCCACATTGTCCCTGCATCCCGGGGACGCATCATTCCCCCATCCCGATATCCCAGATATCATCCCCGCATCCCAGGACCCTGGGCATGCATTGTCCCTGCATCCCACGCACACATAATTCCTGCATCCCGGAATCCCAGGCACACATCATCCCTGCATCCCAGGTGCACACCGTCCCTGCATCCCGGTATCCCAGGCCCACATTGTCCCTGCATCCCAGGCACACATCTTTCCCCAGTCCTGCCATCCCAGGTACCTACCATCCCCACGTCCCAGGATCCAGGGCACACGTCGCCTCTGCATCCCGGAATCCTGGGCACGTGTCATCCCTGCACCCCGGGCACAGATTGTCTCTGCCTCTTGGCATCCCAGGCACACGCCATCCCCGCATCCCAGGATCGCAGGGATGCATCGCCGCTGCATCCCAGACACATCCCATCCCTACATCCCAGGATCGCAGCCGTGCATCACCCCCGTACCCCGGGATCCTCAGCCACCCATCACCCCCATATCCCAGGATCCTCAGCCACCCATCACCCCCATACCCCGGGATCCTCAGCCACCCATCACCCCCATACCCCGGGATCCTCAGCCACCCATCACCCCCATACCCCGGGATCCTCAGCCACCCATCACCCCCATACCCCGGGATCCTCAGCCACCCATCACCCCCATACCCCGGGATCCTCAGCCACCCATCACCCCCATATCCCAGGATCTTCAGCCACTCATCACCCCATATCCCGGGATCTCCAGCCACCCATCACC